ATTTTTGAATTTACTTGAGCGGCAAATTGACATAAGGAGGAATATCTTACACCCAGTTGAGTACCTCCACCATACATGAGTCCTACATATAGGGTGGAGCTTTTAGAGCAGCCCATCAGATTAGTTAAAAAATAAAAACAATGGCCAGAAATACTCGAGCGTGTAAGATTAAGGTAAGTTCAGTCAATTATATATTTATTAGTGTGTATCTAAAAAAATTAGACGATTTGAGCTTGACATAAATCATTGGTAAGGTCACAAAGTTCAAAAAATACACATGACCATGACACTTTTTTAAATTTTGAAGCAAGCAATGCAAGAAGTTTTCTTTAAACGTCTACATCATTATAATTTTTTTTCATTCTATTACCTTATCTTTCAAATGCAATAGGTCCCCATGACGCTCGATTAAATCCTCATTTAGCATTATGGGCTCCCCTACTATAATATCGGTTAAGCTACACGATGACTGAGGCCCGTATAGGCCTGTATGGACACGCCGACTCAAAACTATGGTCCATTCTTCAAAAGGCCTACCCAGACCCAATACTGTATCCTCACAGTTTTCTTTAGCTTTGTTTACGAACTACAAAAAAAAAAAGACGGAATATGTTTCGGCGTTTCTTCCCAGAGTGAGTCTTAGGAAATGCCGGCTCCATCTAGCTGTAAAGTCCGACTTGGAAAAATATCTGAAAAGATTTACTTACAGAAATAAATATCATTTATCATGATTTTTTAATTTATCATATTCCAGATATGATATCCATGTGATGGGCCATTTTATCTTGTTTATGTATGTGTCCTAACAATTCCTTGCAATAAATTACTATTATATTTATAAAAAATTGTATTCTATAATTATACGCAGATATTATGTTGCTGAACGTATGTTATAGAGTTATGTATGTGGTGTTGAGTGAGAACATAATGTTTTTACTGCATATTTATTATTTGTAGCTCAGTATAAGTCGCGTTTAATTTAGATTTATTAATGGCTTTGTTTTTCTACCAGAAATTGAAATCCAAGTTAAACTGGGAGTATCTAATGAACAACTGAAAAGAACAAATAAAGATATGTAATACACACCGTGTTGTGTAAAATATATGTAAGAAAAGAAATAAAATTTGTGAAATCGGTTTAATTCTTTTAAATTTAAATTGAGGTTTTAAATGTGTTTAAATTTAGTAGGTATACAATAGATTGTTATTTTTAATGGAATCGTCCATGAGTTATGTCATCACTAAATGTTCATCACTAGTTATTATCGAACTATAATATAATTCATACAGTCTCGTATAGAAAACTAATAAAATTCTGTGGCACTTTAAAAAGGAGTCTTGAATAGGTTTTTGAAAATAGAACCATTGGGTGACAGATAGAACAGAATATTCTGTATTATTATTAGAAAAAAAAAAGAAGGTGTGATAAATTTAGATAGGTATTTATAATGGTAATAAATGGTAATATAATGCGAATTAAAAAAATCCATAGAAAGCTTTACTTCTTTTTTTATGTGTGTGTTTGTTTTTGTTGTAAGTACAATTAATGATGCGTCAACGAACAAAACTAGTTTTGTATTTTTGGCTGTTTTTGTTGTAATCTAAGAATATGAAAACTAACGAGATAGCAGGACAATGTTCAGTGGGAATAAAGAGTTACTAAATTGTCCCATATGCTTAACAGGTAGCATTTAATAAAAACGGTATAAGCCGAAACACAGACTATATAGTAAGTGTTTAGTGTTTTTCGCTACTAATATGATGACTACTGTAGTATTTATTTAATAATAATATTTATTAGCAGTCAAGTTAGATGTCATACAATATCAGTGAAAGCTGCACTGAGCGAAGCCTATATCGCGGCTTTTGAACACAAGCGATTTTCAGTAGTACTAATTTATACAAAATGAAGATAACACGCAATACAACTAATTTGTTTACGAATTATAAAGAAGCAAGCAGCCCAGAAAAACGTAAACGTATACTGATGTTTACCAGCAAGGGTTTTGTTTGTTATCAACTCTAAATGGAAATCTTTTCAAATGACTTTGGCGATGATCTAATCTGTAAAATGATCTGTAAATCATGATTTAGTGGATTAATCAAAAACCTATCACGTAACGTATGTTTTGATATACCTACATATTTCTCCAGACTTTTTTTGTGTTTAGCCATGTTTTATACTTTATTTTTTGTTTAGTAGATCAATACCTCCCTTCTAAGGAAAGGCCAATGTCCAGCCGTGGACTACTAAAAGCTATAGATGATGATTGATACTATTATATTCGAACATCTAGGAGCTGATATCATGTATTTCTTCTAGCTAAACTGATGGCCGTCTTGTTAAAAGTTTAATCAATTTATTTTGTTGTATGTCTAGTTTGTTATATTATTATGTTGAATTAGTCTCCCTACAGTAGATTTGTCCATCCATAGGTTGCCTATGAGAAATTGCCTATTAGCAATAAGGCCGCCATTTGTACGTGGTCATTAATTTTATGTACTCTTGTATGAATGAAGTGTTAAACTGATGTACACCAAAGTTTAGTGTATTCTATTCTATGTAATCAGACACTGCCAGTTTCCCCTAAATTCATCACATATTTAGCCATATTTCCTAAAAAAATATATTCTAAAAACATTTCCATGGTAATATTATTTAAAAAAAAACTAAATATATGAAACCCTATTGTCAATTCACAGGTGATTTACAGCCATTGCTTGTTTTGTTTGTTTAGCGAATTAATTGTAATGACTGTCGATTGTAGTATAAAAAAATACTTTCTGGAATCTCGTAGACTTCACTAGAACATACTACGATCTTTAGTTATTGTTAATATTTTCTTGAAATAGTACTTTTGTTATGATATAACCGTATTCTATAATCATGTTTACTTAATGAAGTGATAAAGTAATATTAATCTAAAGGGCAGTTTTGATAATTCAATCACAATGTGACCAAAGCATGCATCCTTTGACTAAAGTGACGTGAGGGTTTTTGGCAGCTTGTTTACATAATGAAAAGAAATCATTAAATGTTAAAAGCAAAAAAATTAAAATAAGATGTCGTACACTTGTGTATTTATCTAAAGCAACTTATTTATATTGGTTAAATTTACATTTCTTTTAAACTACTAAGTATGCAAACAAGTACTTGGGCTAAAAGGATAGTAAACAGTTAATGCAATATATTGACATTCGCACTTCAAACCTTAACGAAAAGAGCGTATTCATTCCTCATACGCCGGCGACGTGCTTGTGACTCCCGAGTCGGAGGCGTTCATGGGCGGCGGTAGTCGCTTTTCATCAGGTGACCCGTCTGTTCGTTTGCCCCCTCTTCCATAAAAAATAAAACCATAAAATGAAAGAATGAATGAAGGAATAACAGACACATGATCACTGTATAAAGTAGAAATAATCGTTCAGTTGTATCATTTGTGTATTGTGTTATACAAGCTTAAAACGACTAGGACCGGTCTAAAAGCGGTAGAACAAACACGACTTTCCAAACGTAATGTTGAGAACCTTCTTAATTATTTACATTCTCATTAAAAGTGGGTATAGACAATCTTTCTGAGATAATACTTTTTAATTACCTTTCTATTACGGATATGTCTGTCGCTTACCTTTATATTTATCCACGTGCCGTGATTAGAAGCCGTGTGACGGGCGAATTACCTCAAATCTTAGCCAAATAATACTGACACACTACTCGTATAAAAGCTGAAGAGTCAAGTCCTGACAGTAAGAGTCCAAGCAAACAAACGTAACCATTAATCCATCTCTCAATTGTTATAGCTTACTCATGTTTTGAAAAGCATCCTTTCATTCCTTCCTTAAATTCGTATAGAATTTGTTTGTGTTTGACCACTTTTTAGATCTCAATGGTCCATCGTCTCACCTAAGCTACGATTAATTCATGGGGCTCGTGGCTAAGTGGTAACCGAGTAGGTCAACACATTGTAAAGTTAAGCAATCCCAGCCAGGTCAGTCTATGGCTGGGTGACCATTCTTAACACATTGACATCCCTCCGTGGCTGATGGCAGTCGCTCTACGTAAAATTCGAAATTGACGAATCCCAATCTAGTCTAAGAAAAAGACTCGGAGGAAGAAGTCTCATTTCATATTTTTGATAGAACCATATTGGTTTTCGCAAATCTATGTATGTATTATATAATTACTAACTTTTGTTTGCAGCTTCACCCGCGTGCAGGTCAATTATCGCAGTAAAAAGTAGCCTTAGTCTCGCTTATAATGTAGCTTTACATTGGTTAAAGAATTTTAAAAAACGGTTTAGTTTTTTAAGCGTGAAAGCGTAACAAACAAATAAACTCACCTTCACATTTATAATATACCTACTTATATGGATTAGAACATCTTTGACTTTTCATTTTAACATCAGCTTTTAACGCATTAAGTAGTAAATGTAGTAGCATATATTTTTAGAGTTGGACGAGATTTATATCCTTTGTAAAGTAAAAGAGTCATTTAACATGTAGCTAGCAGCACAGCTGCAGTGTATAGGAAAATGTGTACCTGGACATTACTTGTCAAACAGGGTGGACGCGAGGAAGAACAATACGGCTAATAAATCATGTATCTACTAAACGTAAATGTTTGCTTATCTACTACCACTTATTGCTGCTTACTACTTGTTTTACAGTTTCTGTTATAGGTAATAACTGCTCGGCAGGTTTTTTATTTGTTTAATATTTTTGTGTTTAAGAAATGTATCAAACAGTTATAACAGAAAATGTGTATAGTATACCTACGTAATTAAAATAAGTTTAATGATTTAAGATTATCTTAATCATCTCAATAAATTTAATAATTTTCAATTTCTCTTTCATAAACAATGGTTCAACTTGCGATATTAGTTAAATTGACTAGGAACAACTAACCGCATTCCTGTTTAACTATTGCATAATTGCTTTGATTAAATTAACTCTGTCGATATATATTTACAACTATGTTCAAAAAGAAAATGATAACTTACCATTCATGAATTAAGCGTATAATGTGAAAATTGACTTGTATCTCGCCATGTCCATAACGGAGGTAGGCAGGACTGCTGCAGGCCCGCCAGCAGCTCCGCATGGTAGCGCTGTGCAGCTAACAGATAGGGCGGTGGTAGTGGGAGAGGGCAGTGCGGTAACTGAGGTGGCAGCTGCGGTGGCGGTGGAGAGGGCGAAGACCGTCGTGGGTCCGGTTCCAACAAAGCATCTATTGTAAAAGCGCGCCGGGGCCGCGGTCCTTGAGGTAGCAATGCCGCAGTATCTGGCGCTTCAGGTGGCTCAGGACTAGGTCTTGAAATAAACGTCGATGACGGGTTATACATGCTCCCATTTGGTAAACCTGCTTGTGGCGGTGGTGCACCAGCTTGTCGTGCTAGAAATGCTCTGTTAAAACTGGCCAGCGCAGCTAATTCGGCATTCAAACTGTCCTTTTCACCTTTATGCAACTTAAATCTCTTTCGTCTTCTCAACAGGGATCCATTCTCGAACATATCGAAGGCCTGTGGGTGCAGAGTCCAGTAAGCACCCTTACCGGGCCGGTCGGGCCGTCTCGGCACCTTTACAAAGCAATCGTTGAATGACAGATTGTGCCGCAGTGAGTTTTGCCATCTCTGCGTGTTGCGCCTGTAGTATGGGAAGCGATCTGTGATGAACCGGTAGATCTCTGACAGCGGTAGCATGCGTTCAGGCGAACTCCAAATTGCCATCGCCGTCAGTGCTATGTAGGAAAAAGGTGGTTTTTGATCACCGTAAGACTCACGTGTTGGCCGAGGCATGGTTTCGCGCAATACTTTTGGGTAATATTAGGTTTGTCACCTCGGCGGTGAGCGTGAGGCGCACGTCTCTCACAGCGGAGTGGAAGATAAGGACTGGGTGAGTGAGCGAGACTGCGTGCGCCAGGCGGGAGTGGCCGCGCGGTCGGGTGCCGCCCTAAACGGTCTGCGCCAATCGTAGGCCGGCAACTTTGTTTGTTGTTTTTGTCGGCTCCGGACCCGTTACAGAGGAATTTAAATTGTTATCACGTTTACATTATACAAAATTTATTCGACACCGACAACAGCTTGAGCTTGTTTCGAAATTGCAATGATTAAAGTAGTAGATACTTATGGACGGTGTGGGGAGGAACAGAAAGATGAGATGATGACGAAAATATAAGTCACAAATGTAGCTTTTTTAGTGACAGTGATAACTAAAATATTGCAATATTGTAATTAGTACTAGATATCGAAAATATTTAATTACGTTTTTCTTTTATGTCCGTCGTTCCTTATTTATTCTAATTGCTTTCTTATAGGTTAAATGTTGTGCGAATTCAGCAATGATTTCATACACTAGGTACTTATTTGCATACCTACCTACGATATCTATGAAATAAAACTTGATCGGTAAGTAGTGTAATATGTGTAAGTGTGCTGTTCTGCTCAATACATCGGTGATCTGTAAGTAACACACCAACGCAGTCATTAACTATCTAAGTGCTTCGGTGCTGAGCTTTATGCACTTTGCGCTAACTCCGTACATAGATAATGTACCATCCACTTAAATGATTTACTCTGTTATATTTTATTATTGCAAGATTTATCAAATCAAAGCCCGGAACTAGCATATAGAGTCTATTTTTTATACCTTGACATTTTACCCACTCCCGTCTTATCTCAAACCACACTGAGCCTATATTATGATAACGAGACTGCTCATAAACAGACTTATATTTTCTTCAACATATATCTATTACAGATAAATTACACCGAGACACAGAAAAAATGATCGTTCTCATCATGCAATGTTTGTTCTGGGTGGGAATATCTCAATTTATATTTTATTTATTAAAATTATCTCTTTATTACATTTTGTCTATGACTCAGTTGTCTAAACATAATTGTTTAACAAATGGAATATTTTAATCCTTTACATACTTAGTCAATATACTCGTATGCTTATTTAATTTGTACTGCTTGTTATTTCTCTATACATCGACCTTTATATTATTATTCAGATTAAATAAGAAAACTCATTAAGTGAAGCGTGTTAAAGTTATAATTAATTAAGATAAAATTAAATAATTATTATATAGATATATTTGGGACTTGGAAATAGTGCCAATGGATGGGGGTGTATGATTCGCACATTGCCGCGATCGCTCGTAGCGCTAGTAAAGTACCGCGGTTCAAACGCGAGTAGCTACAGGGCACACGCAGCGTAAAGCCCGCGATCAGCTGCGGTGACGTGTTGCTTGTATAAATTAACCACGGACTATACTTAGTGCATTGGCTTGTCAACTAGCTAACTCACTGTAAAGAGATCTATTAAGAAATACATTTCATAGTCTTATTAACAGGAGATATTTGTATCTGTGCTTACATCAACATCAACAACCTTCAATAGACCACTGCTGGACATAGGCCTCTCCTTAGAAAACACTCATAAATAATTGAAATTTTAAACCCTTTATTTTTAATTGCTATAAGTCTCACATTCATCGTTGGTAAATAAACTTAATAAGTATCTGTTCTCTGTAGAAATATTAAATACCATACATAAATGCCTATAGACTATTTTGTACACAGAGATACCTAGACATCTAATTACTATATACAAAACGTCCAAAAGTTGCCGTCTGCACTGTATTTGAAGATTCTTATGGCAAGCAGTGCTGTAACGAGAGGGGTGCCAGCGGTGGCTAGGCAGAGGGCGCAGATCCTGGAGGTGTGTAGACATAACTCAACCAGCCTGGAAACGATGCAGACGCATCCTTCTCTGTTCAAAAGTATTTTAGATGGAGCTCAATTCTTGCACCGGTTACCGGTTGTAGTACCGATACTAAGCTTAAAGTTTTAAATTAACATGTTTTCCGATTTCTTGATTTACCAACAACGTTATCTCAGTTAGTAATACGAAATGCATCATACAGAAAATTACATATTTTAGCGGTACAAAAACGTAAATTGCGATATATAAGTTTTTTTGACTTTCGCGTAACTTTTACAATCCTTCGATATTGACCACACTTTATGTGCACAGCTAATACAAAATACGCTCTATATGTAGCCTTCATTTTCGTATTAATACCTATTAGTCGTGAGTACTATTGATATACGATTACCTAAAATAGAATATGTTTACATACTAAATATAATATGACACAATTAATAAAGTCCATGGAATACTACCACTGATTTGAAATAATTTAATTTTAATAAACGAAATGTCAAATAATACCTAATATTAATAAAAAGTATCAAATCTAGATTTCAAATTAAAACAATTTTGTTTGAATTCGAAATCTAAATCTCATCTAAATAGAAGTAATGTACAGATCTCTGAATATCTATATCAAATCCAACCCTTAGCTAGTTCACATATTTTTGCTCAAAATCGATTATTGATTACACAGCAATTAAATTAAATTATAAAAAGGAATTATTTCACACATAGTTGAACATTACCTTAATTCTCAGCTTCGCTTACAACCGAGTTATAGTTTTAATATCGATTTTTAGTACTAACAAAAACAATAAAATTTGCACGAAACATTTCTTAATCGACAAAACTACCTTGAGCATAATGAAATTTTATACGATTGTAGATTTTACACGTGTACTATATTGCTCCAAAATTGAAAATCACTTCCATAACGTGAATATATCCAACTATTGGCGCAGACGGATATAACGTAGTATATTTTTTCAAGTATTCCTTTGTTTGCACGCACGTCATTCAAAACTGTTGAACGAATTTAAATTGTTATTTGTAGTTGTTTTATTCAGAGCCTGGGAACGATTTTTAAATGTTTCGTCTCGGTACAATTATTGAGTCAATAAAGGCAATTCGGCGGAGCATGTTACGTTTAGATTTTAAGGGTTTCCATGTCGGTTAACAAGAATCATCTTTAAGGTATACACCTGGAAAAAAATATACCTAACTCTATCGATACTACATGATATTAGTCGCCTATTATACTTTTCTTCGCTCTCTGTCCGCGTGGTTACGGATTAAGAATACAGGGTGTCACCAACCCTATTATAGCCGACTAAAGAAGCAAACAACGCATACCAATAGCTACTAACAACAAAGAGAAGGAAAACTTGAAACAAACCCTATACCAACCCGTGTGGTCGCCGTAGTATAGTATAGGCCAAACCTCCTTTTTAAGAAGATGCCTATACCCAGCAGTGGACTGTTAAAGGCTGTTGATGATAATGATGATTGTTATTATACTCTTATTTAATTATTACATACCCATATTTACTTCTATTTGTCCCAAGACATTGTTAGAGATGTGTTAAACATTCAAATCTAGCCATCTGTAATTTGGTTCCACAAACGTATCATGAGTCAAGCTTGGAGCCAACCGGGCACTTTGGGAGTATGTTGAAAAGGAAAGATAGCAAAGAACGCAAGAACTAAAGAATTAAGAAAGGGATATTATTTATACGTGTACGGATAACCAGTATCTTTTTGTCAAACCCACAAGAAGCAATCTATAAACAGCGTGGGCCTGCTTGGACAAAAACTTTTTGATCTTATAATTTCTGCTACCACAAAATTCCATTAATCCATTCTAATAAAGTTTAAAAATAATAATTACAAAAAGTTTGTGTGTTTATCGATTAATGTTCGCTTTGACATTTTTAAAACCTTCCTAAGTACAAAACACGATACTGTTGGTAATTGTGGGAGATATGCCATCCTAAAAAATATATTACCTTTCTGTACTATCCGTATAATCCGTCCGTATAATAAATTTATTTTATTAGTGAAAAAGCCTTATTATTATCTATCTTAGAAATCTTCTACATGGTCTTTCGAGCCGGATCCACACCGGACCACAATTTAAAAAATATAAAGAAGCGAAGGAGCATACACGATGACCGCTAATCGTGTTCTGAAAGTGTAATTATTATTTCTAAATAAAGTAAGCAATTTGCTGAGGTAACACTATTGTTTAGTGTCACCGTACACAAAGAGTTAGAGGGCTCAGACTAGTTAGTTACGGCCTATTCGAGTTAAAAGTATGCGACCCTAATCGATTCATTGTGTACTCTTCACGATCAATCCGTAAAAGTAATATCCATTTCATTCCTTTACCTTCTCTTCTTACCTATATTTCCCTTACGACACTTCTAATTTTACCATCGGTTAGTCCCAACGTACTCGGTTGACACCAATGGGCTTGCCTCTTGTTATATGAATGGGATCAAATTATTGTTCTCAAAACATGGATGTTTAAACCTTAGTTGCAACCCGATTTTGTTATTAGTTGAAATTAGTGCTTCGGTAGTGCTGTGGTAGCGAATACGACTGCTGTGCTGAGGTCTCGGGTTCGATTCCCAGGTCGGACCAAATGTTCGTATGATCTGCAAACATTACACGTTTACATTAAATTACACTACTATGAACCTAGCTTTCATAGTACAAGCTCTGCTTAGTTTGAAACAAAATGGCGATGTGTGTCAGATGTTCGAAGATATGTTAGTAAAATGGTAAAAATAATACATGAAGTCCCCTGACCGATAGTGGAGAAAGTTGTAACAGGGACGAGATCTATCTTAAGACATAAGTTTCTAGTTCTTTTTTATTTTATTTTTTAACTAAGAAAAAATAATAAACAATAAAAATTTAATAAATAAATAAAACCGAAATGTTTCATGTTGACATTTACAACAACCATTAAAAGTAATAGCTGGAAGGAAATTAACTGCTGTTTTTACTTAGTTGCAAACTAGCTACTGCAGCATAGTTATTAGTGCAGAGATCGTAAAAAACTTAGGTAGCT